AGCTATATAGATTTTTATACAATGTATTCATGTTTTATACTGTATGTATCTACAGTAAGTTTTTCTGTTGTAAGCAGATTATCAGGTAGATCCTCCCAAAAACCTGACAGTTTGATAATTACATATTCTCTTAATGTAGGTCTCAATTCTGTCTGTAAGTTTATTTTTCTGATTTTAAATGAATTGGCAATGTACTGAACATAGGACTGTGATCATCTAAGAGGTACCCAAACTGAAAATCAACTTCCTGAAGTGTTCTGGATCCAAAAGGAGTCAAATAGCCTGTAATAAGAATATGAATTTTAATAAGTTTCTGTTATCATTAATGAATCAGTTTGCTGTTTAATAAGCTAAGAACATTGCTTATGAGACCTGCAGATGTTGTCTTACACATTCGAATGCATAAGGGTATTTTTTTCCCTACCTGAGCATAAGAATGGAGTTAAAGCAACATTTTTGTCGTACCTCTCATGCACATATTCCATGTATGCCCTGGTCTGTGATAGCCTGCAGCTTGTTCAAATTAACATGAGGATTCAAACTTGTATCCAGCAGAACTGCAAGTGTATCATGCAGTGAACGCTATAACAAGAAATTATTCAAATAGTTTAACTGTAATTGCAAAATTCAAAAGAAATTTCTATCTGGAACTTCCATAAGTGACATTCTGGTGCTAGACTGCTGCCTGTCTTTTTTTTTTTTTTCCCCCCTCCCTCTCCTTCTAAATTTCAGTTAAAGACCTTTGTCACCCTGTTGCTGTTACAATCTGCAAGGAGATGCAATGATAGGCTCCTGCAAGGCAAAGTCCCTGTGCTCCATAGGGCCCTTTGTTGCTATCAACAGGGTTGCCTTTCCTGCTTCTCTAAGTGGACATCACCAGGAAAACAAACAAAAAAATAAAGCATTGGCACCTGTAAGAGTATAAAAAGCAGGTCAAAAAAGCTCAGAAAAACTGATAAATATGCTTAAAAATCCATGTGTGCATAACAAAGCACATGGTATGCTATTTATGCCTGAAGCATCCTAATTTGATAAGAAAATACAGTCAGACTGAGACTGCAGAGCAGAAGAAAGTTGTTGCTCCCCCAAAACTAGAAGTAGCTCCCACTATACCCTAGCTAAATAGGATATAMAAGGTCTGCCTGCACTGCTTGTTACAGAAGGAAACAAGGTCTTCATTAATGTGGAAAAGGCAGATCAGCCAGACTTTTGTTAGTTTAGTGCAGTCCTCACAGGAGGCCTCTGTTTCGAATCAGCACTTCAAGAGGGGTTACTGCCTTTGCTTGCGTGAAGAGGCTGAAGTGCAGTCCTAAAAAGTGCAGATAAATCGCCCAGAATCACGTTGTCAGTTTACAAAGGCCCTTTTCTGTGTAGCTTTTGCGTGCTGAGCACATTGCATCCAACGCTGTGCAGTTAGTGTCAATTTAGAGTAATGTTTGTATCTTTTTAAGAAAGTAGYACTTACTGACTATCCAAAATAAATGGGCATTAAACTTCAGGAGTTAGGTGAATGAAATGAAATTCCAAGGTAATATTGCACAAATTTGGTATTTTAAAAAAGGGCAAATTAAACTTTTCAGAATAATCAGTAGAAAAAAGAAACCAAAGATTGTTTGTCACTACTGTAGGAGGTGGATAATTAAATAGAATAAATTGCAGAAACTGTCAGCCATTTCCTTTTTTTTTTTTTTTTTAACCTTCTTGTCTCTTGTTTTGTTTTTTCTTCACTGGGGTTTTGATCCATGCAGGTGTCATTATTTAAATCAGATTATATCTGATACAGTCTAATACTCAGATTATCACATGACAACTAAATGAAAATCAAAATAAAAATTTAAATCTCTAATATTGTACTTGATTTTTGAGGATAATAAAAATGACCAAAAAAAAAAAAAAAAGCTTGTGGAAAGTTTCCTCTTCTCTCATGTTTTTTTTTTCCACCCTCCTGTTATGACTAGTGATAATATGAAAATAGCACGTTGATTTTCTGAAGTATAATTTAGCTTGAAACTCTGAAGGGAGAGGGTTGAAAATCTGTAACAACATGGAAGTTGTATGAAGGAACAATAAAAAAAAAAAAAAAGCCCCTTTGCAATTTCAAGCATTCAGAAGTTAAGATTAGAATTAAAGCCTCCTGGAGGCTGTGCTGAATGGGAATTTAGGAAGAAAAATCCGTTCAGCATTGGGCTTCCAAGGAACCTGGTTCGATGCTGTGCTCAGGCAAAAGACCCCGCAGTTTTACCTGCCACAAGTTTTGTGCTTCTGTTTTGAGAACCCGCCTAGACAGCGTTTTCTCCTGRATAGAGAATTACTGAATCTAAGGAAAGCCAAAATGATGATAGTGATAGTTAGAAGGCGGCATCTTTGAAGGATCTTCAGTGACTGTACAGGCTCTTTTTCAATAAACAGTAGGTATGTGCATGTTTTTCAGCTGATAAAAGTTCTTCTGGAGCTCAGGCTGATCGTGACCTCCAGTCTTCAACATTGATGAATAATGCGAACTAATATGAAAATTGGGATACGTCTCCCTACCAGCTCTGATGGCTTTTGCAGTAGGAATTTCTGGCCTTGCCTGCCTTCTAGAGGATGCTGAATTATGTTTGAAGTTTCGGCCTTTAACTTCTTCTAAGGATGCCCAAATTGGCTCCCTTGGCTTGGTGGTTCTCTTTGCAGCAGGGATGAAGCTTACTGTGCTGGGAGTAACTCCTTTTGGGAAAGAAGGAGGCTTGAGAGGCATTGAGAAGGAGTTGCTTCCTTCTGCCCCAGTCTAAAAATGCATGTCAGTAATCAACATTAAGACTTAAAAACTTCAATGTTAAGATTTTTTTTTGCCTTAAAATGCAGGAGAGAGAGATTGGGAACCGCCGTTCAGTTGCTGTGACTAGGGGCCTGCTACCAGCATCATCCGTGTTCACTGGGACATCATTGCTAAATATTCACGTTCAGTGCTATTCCAGGGCCACGTTTAATGCTATTYATTACTCGGTTGTTTTCACTAGAGGGAGTGTGCAGTTAGGCTCTATCAGTGCAATGTTTGCCCCATTTTAGTTTTTAAAAACAGCACTGTTAACTTTGATTACTCTTTGCACAAGGTAGTTGTCCTTGTCATGTGACTTCTGTATGTATGTTTGGAGGGCTGGGGTCTTCCTTTGACTTAGGATAATTCATGGAAAAAATGGATTAATAAAATGCTGCTGTTCTGCCTGATCAACCAGTGTATCCACTTGTTTAGCTATTGGGATTGGCTTTATGAAACAGGTAATGGGCTTCTGCAGTATTCTCTCTTGCTTTGGTAGATTTTATTCTGTATATCGCTCCAAAATTCACTGCATGTTCCTGTTTCCAAAATGTACGAAAATACCAGTTATATTAAATAATATTTTACTTAACATTAACATATATCTTAATTCTAACGTTCTTTGCTGATAGTTTTGCTCTGGCTTCTTGGTCTAGGAGTACTGTCCCTTTCAGTTGTGGGACTTGAAGTTATTTTCCATTCAAGAGTTCAATCTTAATTCTCTGAGATGTGTTACCAGTGTATAAAGCTATAACCTTATCTCTGCTTTTTTAGTCATTATTTTCTCAAATGGCCAGGCTGAGGTTTGTTGCCAGGCTAGCTCAGTGGTCCTTGGGAGACCTCAGCACACTGTGTTCTTTGGGGTCCCAGTGTGATGTTTGCAGGGTGCACTTATGTGCACCCTTATGGCCTTATGTGCCAGTTCTTTCGCTGTAAAACCTCGGCCTGTAGAAGTGCTACACTGAGGAGCTTCAGGAGAGCTGCAGCGTCCTTCATAGCAGGGACCTCAGGCACTTGCCAGCAAATGCGGGTGCAGGGAGCTGGGGCAACTGGAGAAACTCTTGTCCTCACTGCTGCTWGAGCACCCCTTTTTGCAGGGAAGGGAGGGCTGGGCATCCCCTGCATGGCTCGTGTGCTGCTGCTGAGTGTGTTGAAGAGGGAAGGCATTTCCCTGGCAAGCTGGGCAGTAAAATGCCCTTCAAGAGCATTGAGAACATCAGGAGATAGATTCTTAGACCCTTAATCTTTTCCATTTCTGCAACATTAGACTTGTATTAGACTTATTTTCTTGTGACTGACTTCAAATTGGGACTAGGTAGCTTGGTCAATGAAATTAATATTTCTACTCAGAGTCCTCTTGTCTCCCATGGGTGTCTACTCAGATCCCGGTATTATGGAATAGCTGAGTCTCTAGCGGCTGAGCTGCTGCAGGTCAAATATAGACATTTAAAATGAACTTAAAATGCAGCAGGTGATCCTGTGTCTTAGCACAGGATTTCCATGCAGTGGTTCAGCCAATTCAGGTAGCTCATCTGAGTGAACAAGCGATGTGTGGGTTGCACTCTGCCATCAGCTTCTGCAGTGCTCCAGGCTTAACTCAGTTAGATACTCAAGAGCTGTAGTGATCCTCTAACTTACCTTTATTATCCGTGTGGTGCTTATGGGTATTTCTGTGGTATTATTACTTCTAGGCTTTTGAGGATGAGTTTTTMAGTTCATCTGCATTTTATGATATTTATATGGAAGCAGTGATAACGTTCCTTTAAAATGCCKTAAAGAGTGAGTTTTGTTTGTAGTRTAGAACATGAAATAGCATAGAACATGCAACTTTATTCACCTGAACGTTTTTCCCATTAGCAGTCCCTGTGTGTTTCAGGGGTATCTTCAATGTTTTCATCACATATTTTTTAATAATTAAGCTAACTTTGCTTAACAGTTTCTCTGTAAGAAGACAGTCTTTCTAGTTCGTATGCTCCATAAAATGCGGTGTGAAAATCTCCTAGGAAGACATTTCTTCTGCAGAACGAAAAAAGTGATGCTTTGTGTTCTTAGATATCTGGACTCTTGTCTTAAAAAAAAAAAACTTACCTGTGGGCATTTTCGTTGGCTTTGATGGAAAAGGTTTTGTTCCTTGATACCAATTTCAGATCCTCAGTTGTTCATTTTATTGACTCCAATTTTTTTTGCTTTACTCTATTTGCAGATGTGATGCAGATCCATCTGCCCTCGCTAAATATGTTCTGGCTTTGGTGAAGAAGGATAAAAGTGAGAAAGAGCTGAAAGCTCTGTGTGTTGATCAGCTGGATGTGTTTCTCCAGAAAGGTACGGTTGCTGTCAGAACCTTAAGCTCCAGGGAATTGCTTTCCTGCTTAATTAATGCAACAAGCTTTTAACTTAGAACCTTGCCTTTATCTTTCCATAAGCATTGTTACTTGTAAGTATATACCTAAATTTGCATGAAGTAGTTTTTTACGAAGATAAATGTGTAGCCCAGTATGTGTTATATTACTTTAAGTATATTTTTTTTGCTATTAATTGATGTTTCTAAGAAAATTAAGGATGCTAAAAAACTATTACCAGAATAGAAGTACTGGAGCTCTGTATTCCAGAAATAGTCTCCCAGATACTTTATTTAAAGGCATTAAGTAGTTTAAAGGTTGAAAACCTTTATGAAACATTCTCATTACAGACAGTGTTTCTCGAGTCTGTAAAAAGATCTTTTTAAATACAAATGCTGTTAGAGATGCAGAGTCTGTCATTGTTCTAACTTTCCTTTGCAAGTTAAATATTAGAAAGGCTGGATTTTTTTTTCCAGTGTTAAGTTTTGAATACTGAGTGTGAGTATTTTTATACATTCTTTTTTTCTAGAAACTCAAATCTTTGTGGAAAAGCTGTTCGATGCTGTGAATACGAAAAGCTATCTACCTCCTCCAGAACAGCCATCATCAGGAAGTCTGAAAGTCGAATTTTTTCAGCACCAGGAAAAAGAGACAAAAAAGGAAGAGGTAGGCACTTGGGGCCTTCCTCTAAATGTTTGTGTTCTCTCCCTATTCCTGTGGSTTGCTCATGTGATTCAACTTTTTCATGTTTATGTGAACATCAGTAGTAGTCACAAAACTACAGTACAGCAATAAAATCTATTAGATTTGTACAAGGTGKGCTGAGTACCCTTAAAACAAGTTTTCTTGAGGAGTGGGCACTTCACAGATAAACCAAAAAGGTCCTCACTGGCCAGAGAGGAGCAATGTTACTAGTAGYGTGCGAGCTGTGGCACAGCCTGCGTGGCTTCCGTGCTCAGGATACTCCAGGAGGGATAGAGGTCTTGAATGCAGCACAGAGCCACACTGGCATTCAGAATACCCATCCTGCTTCCTCCAGCTGCACCGTTCATGCCTCACCCTTAGGCTGGCTCTCCACTGTGTGTGTGCGCCCCTGGGAGCCAGGAAAAAAAGGGAGAGGAAAAGGAGGGAGGATGGGACACTTTTCAACAGCAGCCCGGGTTTGGCTGCATCAATGTGACTGTCTTCCCCTGATCTGAAGCAGTGAGGTTGCTGATAAGAAACAGGCAACACAGTGTCAGTCAGATCTTCCCAAGCCTCTCAAAGCACCTCGATACAGATCTGTATTCTAAGTAGCTGTATTTTCATTGCAGCACATGGAGGTTTGCTCACTTTATTATATTTTTCTTACAGAAGCAAGTATTTTCTTGCAACTAGTGTTTTGAGTATTCTAAGGAATTGCRGAATTCATTTATTATAAAGTTTTCTAAGAGGCAAAACATACTTTGTATGAGTGTAAAGGCTTGACAGATGGATGTTTTGAGTTCTTCAGTTTTATTCAGTTGTGCAGAAGACTTGATTGTAGAATACGCATGTTTTTGATCTAATGGATATTTCCTAAAATTCAGATAGTTAAAGAGGAAGAGCGAGAGAAAAAGTTTTCCAGAAGATTGAATCATAGTCCTCCTCAGTCAAGTTCTCGATACCGAGATTCCAGGTAATGAAATTTTACTTCTTTTTTTTTTAGTAATCAAATGTATTTGATTTTTTTTCCATAGTGTTACTATATTAAGTATTTCATTTCTGCACAGTCACTTGATAAGTCTTCAGACTTTTATTACCTTTATGTCTGTGTAGTCAAATTGTGCATGTACTGAATGATAAAGTCACTACAAATCACTGAAGTGATTCAAGGTTGCACATAACTGTCAGATTTCACTTTTATAATGCAAGTGAATGAAAAATTTGTGATCTGTTTTACACCACTTACTACATTCTGTATTGAAATGGAATAGTGCTGAGTTTTAATTTAGAAGCATTCTCCCCTTTTTTTTTTCTTGGAATTTCTGACTTGAAATTTTTTTTCAGGTGCGTTTTTGTGCAGAAGCAATATTTTATCTACATTGAAAATCTCTTGGATGATATAATCCAACTAAAATAATTATACAAGTCTTCTAAGAAAGAAAGGATCACAATAATTTTTAGGGCTACACAAGACGTGGACAGTCAGTGAAATAGAATATCCATCTCTGTTAGCAGTGCTTTCTTTGAGCCTTTCTCTTTTTTGAAATTAAGATTTTCTCTTTTTTGAAATTAAAATTAAAAGTACTTAAAATTTTAGTTATTGAGCAGAACGTTGTCCAACTTTTTCATTTTTATAACGTCCCCAAAGCCTTTTTCTTTTCATATTTTTTTTTGAGATTTTTAAGATAAGGTTTTAAATTGCAGCTTCCTAATTCTCGTATTTTACAACCAACCAAATTGTATTTTTAGAAGCCGCGATGAAAGGAAAAAAGATGAACGTTCTCGGAAGAGGGATTATGACCGAAACCCTCCCAGAAGAGATTCCTACAGAGATCGGTATAACAGAAGGAGAGGGCGAAGCAGGAGCTACAGCAGGAGTCGAAGTAGAAGTTGGAGCAAAGAGAGGTTGCGGGACCGGGATCGAGACCGAAGCAGGAGTCGGAGCAGAACACGAAGCAGAGGTACCTAGAATTGGGCACTAAAATGTGGTCGATGCTGCCTGTATTGTTAGATGCCAGATTGTAGCACAGTCTTGAAGAAGCATCAACATTTCTATTCATATTCTTCTCTGTGTAAATAAGACTTGCACAGTTAATTTCTTATTCCTTGTCCTCTGTTTCTCCCCCTCATGTTTCTCATCTGATACTTTTAAATGTGTTTGCCGTTTTTAAACAATTTTGAGAGAGAGATAAATATCAGAGCTGATGTCATCTCATTAAGTTTCAGAAAACTTAGAATCTGATTTGGCAAGGTAGATAAATAATAACTTATTCACAAAAGTGGGGCTAGGAGAACCTACCTGTTGCTCTCAGCATTTTACYCACTCTAATTTGTCTTTTGTGAGGGAATTTTTTAAAGATTTCTTTTACATGGGGTTGTTTGAATTTACTAACTTTTCTCATGATGGAGCTCTTTCTTAATCTACATACTAGTTGTTTAATTGATGGTAGTTAGGAAATAGACTGATAGAAAGGTAAGACAGTAACTTGTATGTATTCATAAAAAGGATCCTATTACCACTGTAGCTGGGAGTGTTTCACACCTTTATATAGATACTGCTCTATATTTAAGCTTTGCATTCAGTTGAGCATATTGAACTTGCATATAAATGAAGATGCAACATTTTTAAAACTAAAACAGGTTTTTTGGGACCTTGTCCTGAGTTGGGCTTGAAGTATCTCCAAGAATGGAGACTCYACAGTCGTTCTGGGCAACTTGTAGCACATCTTAATGATCATTTTTGTACTTTGGAATTTAGATTTCATTTGGAATAAAGATAGCTGTACATGTTAGTGATGAAAATGTGTACGAGGACTCACACAATCTAACTTTTTTTYTCCTCTACAGAAAGAGATTTGGGAAAGCCAAAATACGATATGGATAGAGCAGATCCATTAGAGAACAATTATACTCCYGTTTCTTCTGTAACAAACATTTCTTCTGGCCACTACCCCGTCCCCACGCTGAGCAGCACTATCACTGTCATCGCTCCTGCTCATCATGGCAATAACACTACTGAGAGCTGGTCGGAGTTCCACGAGGAGCAGCTGGACCACAACTCCTACGGGCGGCCGCCGCTGCCCAAGAAGCGCTGCAGGGATTATGATGGTGAGTCAGGTGGTGATGCATCCAGCCCCAGCCTGCAACGATCCCTTCCTTTCTCTCTTTCCTAATACTGTGCTTCTACCTCTTACACAGCTTGCCTTTTTTTTAGGCAAATTCTTCAGTATTGTCCCACTTTTTAATCCTCTGCGTTCTACACAGCCTTCTGTGCTGGTGTCGGTGTAGTTGCTTTCGTTATTAGAATTACTTTGTGCATTTGAAAAATAGTATGTAATTCTGTTTAAATTTTAATAGACTTCTGCATGTTTTTTCTATATTGTATCTGGTTCAATCCAAGTCCAAAATTTGATACTTTCAATTATAATTAGCAGCTTACTGACCTGACCATATTTTACTTTTATCCTATCCTTAGAACATAGAATACTTAGAATACCTATCCTTAGAATATTAAAATTACATCKTTTTTTAGTAAAGAAAATAAAGGGCTTAACCCTTAAGCTTTGACAGTTTATAACAGCAATACTATTCTTAATCATCACAAGCAGTATTGTGCAGATGTGTATTTTGAGGTAGTCTTTTAATACAGGTGGAATTGTAGAATGTTATGTCGTGATCTCCCATCCATGTATTACTAAGAACTAATATAGACTCATACGTTTTTGAAATAACATCTTCAGGCATGACACTGAATCTTTGTATCTTTAAAAGAAACTTAGCACTTTGCAGTCTTCCACATGTGAAACAAATGGTACTGCTTGTGTTATAGTTGTCTTAAGTCATTACTGTTCCTTTGTACCTTGCAGACTGGTACTAAAATCTTTTGGGAAATGCGTTTTGCAGTTGCCTTTCCTATAGCTCTGTGGGTGTCCTGACTTCATACACGCGCCTTTCTCTTTAGTTTAGCTTGTTCTGTCATGCTGCTCATCCTATCGTATTTTCTAGTCCATATTCTTCCATATGTTCTAGTTCATAGTCTTCCATATTCTCTTATTCTAGTCCATATTTTTTCCTTAGTCTTCCAGTTTCTGAGCACAATAAYTTCTCCTGAAGATGGAATGAGATAACGTACACTTTTTTTAAGTCTCTTGTTCAGTAATCAGACACAAGACTTTCTTCACTAAGTCACTGGAAAATGTTTTTAGCCATTTTTGAAGGTGAGAGGGTGAGAGGAAGGCAGAAGTTGCTAAACGAGCAGTTTTACTTTGCAGGAAAGCAAAGGGAAATTGTTGTGCTCCTAGCATATTTAAAAAGACCTATTTGTGTTTATATATGTATGTTGTTTGTGAGCACGTGTCTATGTACATACATGTAAACAATACATAGTTATAAATAATAATGTTTTTTACTCTTATAAGCACCAGAATAAGAATATTCAGATAAGCACTAGAGACGGTGATAAATGTTTTAATTATCTTCAGAATAATTGCAGAAGACAAAGCATAAAAGAATTTTTTCATGTTAAAATTCGATATTAATAGGAATATTATATTAACTTCCATTGCTAACAGAGGTGTCTGAATTCACTTCCTACACTTTCTACTGGGAAGCATTGTGTTCTTGATATTGYAATGACATTCATATTTCCTTCTTTGATTCTGTACAATCTGCTACAAATCAGCACAGAAATAATTTTTAGAGAAAAATGAAACTCTTCGTCTGCTAGCAGGTCAGCACTCTCATGTGCTGTGCGTTGAGCTAAAGCTAAASAGACAATTCCGTATCCCAGTGTAAATGTTGGTTACCGTGCAAGGCTCTTTCCAAATTCCCACGTTAGATGTAGAACACCCAGTAGCTGCTCAAAATGAGATCGCAGCTGCTTGGTGCTAACCCTTCCTTTTGCTTCTCTCCTTTCAGAGAAGGGGTTTTGCATGCGGGGGGACATGTGCCCTTTTGACCACGGAAGCGATCCTGTCGTGGTGGAAGATGTGAACCTGCCCGGCATCCTGCCCTTCCCAGCACAGCCGCCTGTTGTGGAAGGGCCGCCGCCGCCGCCGGGCCTGCCGCCCCCGCCGCCCATCCTGAGCCCTCCTCCCGTCAACCTCCGGCCCCCGGTGCCACCGCCAGGGCCTCTGCCGCCGAGCCTCCCCCCTGTAACAGGTAGTTGGAGAGGGGCCGAGACAACTTTCTGCAGAGTTGGCATTTCAGAGAGACCTTAAGGTTGGAAGAGACCCTTGGACATCGTCTAGTGCAGCCTCCCGGTGCTAAACCAGGGCTGTAGTGCTGTAGGGTCTATAAATACCTCCAGGGAGGGAAGGAGGAGGAGGGGGCGGCCTCTTTTCCGTGGTGGCCACTGATAGGGCTAGAGGAAACAGCCACAAACTGAAGCACCAAAAGTTCCACAGGAACTTAAGAAAACATGTCTTAACAGTGAGAGTGACAGAACCCTGGAATAGACTGTCCACAGAGGTTGTGGAGTCTCCTTCTCTGGAGGTCTTCAAAACCCTCTTGGATGCAGCCCTGTGCCCCATGCTCTGGGTGACCCTGTGTGAGCAGAGGGTTTGGACTAAGATGACCTCTGGAGGCCCCTTCCAACCTTAAGCATTCTGTGATTCTAAACGCTATTCTGCTGATGTGAAGTGTGTTTTCAGAAGTTATGAAATGCTTTTAAGGTCATGTTGGAATACCCTACCCCCAAATTACTGCTTTTCTAGTAGTCACTCTAGTGCTGGTGGTTATGCTGTGCGAACGCTTCCAAGTTTGAAGGACAAGTTTGAAATCAACTATTTGTAGGCAAGATGGGAAAGCCTTGAAAACAACAGATGTTGGGCGTTTCACTGGTAATACACAGAGAGAGTCCCTGACCTCAGGAAACAGGTATCTGAAAATTCATGGCAATTAATTTGAAACCTAAAACATCAACAAAAAGAAATTCTCCCTGTCTTACTTATCTTGCATTGGAAAGTCCTTTGGCTGAAGTATTAAAAATTACATTTTAATGCTTTTGTGGCTGACCATCATGTATTAAACAGCAATTTAGTGTTCAAGTGCCTTATGTGGCTTTARAAACTGCCCGATGTTTTCCTTTCATGGGACTATTGTGTGGTTTTGTTTGTTTTAATAATAACCTAGGAGTCCTACTTGGTTGAATTATTCAGGAACATTTGGCTGCTCTGTATTGTTTGAAAGTTGCTTGAATAGTTTTCATTTCCAGTTGATAGCATTTGTAAGTAAGTAAGAATTGAATTTATGTATTTCACTTGGTATATAGAGCAGCTGTCTTGATGGGATGATCAATTCTCCTTCCCCAAGTATTTTCAAATCTGTCTTAAATTGGCTTGAAAGTGTGTGACTTTGTCTCCCAGTAAGCCTTTTTACCAGCAGTTAATTTGACCATCAGGCTTGACAGCTCGGCATTGCAGATTTCACACTACCTTTTGCAGAAAACCTTATTTTTAAGAAGAATCAGTTTAACTTTCCACACGACTTGTAGCTTTCTTTTCAGGTGTTTGGAAAAATTATTTCGACTAAGTCAATTTTTGCTAAGGGATTTTTTTGAACTTTGAAGATTTCAGTTAGTGAAGATAAATACTCGGTTATGGAGGAAAGTGTG